TAGTCAAATCTGAAGGAAGTGGATGGATCAAAAACCCACTGAAGAGCTAGAAAAGTCTAGATCTGGGGACTATGAAGGAAAGCAAAACTAGGAACTGGTGGCTGATGCTTATAATCCTAGACACTCAGGAGGCTGAGATTTGGTTTGGAGGCTGAGATTTGGTTTGCAACCTGCCAGCCACATAAAGCTGAGAGACTCTTTTGTTCAATTAACCATCAAGAAACCAGAGTGGAAGGGCTGGCTCAAATGGTAGAGAAAGAAAGGAAAAAAAAAAGAAGGAAAGAGAAACAAATATCCTAGCTTGATAAACTGGATGGCTAAGAGGATGCTCTCTCCTAAGATAAGAATGCTGGAGTTTGGAGATTATTTTTCAATATGTATTTGACCTATTTATGGATCCTACAGACAGGTGAACATGTGAGTGACATAGAGATTTGGTCAGGTTCTAGATATGAAGCACCATCAACACAATCAATACCAAATTTCAAACTCTACTAAAAAGCCAGAGTAATCAAAACAGCTTGGTACTGGCACAAGAACAGACCTCAGGACCAATGGAATAGAAGAAGACTCAGAAATGAACCCACAGACCTATAGCCACCTAATCTTTGATAAGAGAGCTAAAAAATAGAATGGAAGAAAGACAGTCTCTTCAGTAAATGGTGCTGGCAAAAGTGGTTAAACACCTGTACAAAACTGAAGCTAGATCTTTATATATCACCCTGCGCCAGAATCAACTTCAAATGGATCAGAGACCTTGAAGTCAAAGCAGACACCCTGAAAACACAGGAAGGAATAGGAGAAACTCTAGAGCTTCTTGGCACAGGCTGAAATATTCTTAATAAAGACCCAGAAACACAACAAATCAAAGAAGGGTTGGGCAAATGGTATTGCATGAAACTGCAGTTTCTGCAAGGTAAAGGACATAGCTAGCAAGATTAATAGAAAGCCCACAGATTGGGAGAAGTTCTTCACTAGCCATACAGTGAACAAGGTCTCATATCTAAAATATACTTAGAACTCAAAAAGTTAAAACCCCCAACAAATCCTCAAAGAAACAACCATCCAATTAATAAGTGGGCTAAAGACTTAAAGAAAGACTTCTCTGAATAGGAAATAAGAATGGCCAATAGACACATGGAGAAATGCTCAACTTCTCTAGCAATAACAGAAATGCAAATCAAGACAACATTGAGATTCCACCTCACCCCAGTTAGAATGGCTAAAATCAAGAACTCTAATAACAACTGATGCTGGAGGGGATGTGGCCAAAAGGGAACCCTACTGCATTCTTGTTGAGAGTGTAAACTTGTTAAACCATTTTGAATAGCAATATGGGGTTCCTCAAAAGACTCCACATAGAGCTTTCCTATGACCCAGCAATCCTACTTTTGGGCATTTACCCAAACCATCAAACAAGACCACACTAAAGCTACCAGCACAACTATGTTTATTGCAGCATTATTATTTTTATTTTTTGGGTCCAGTTGTGGGGCCTGAACTCTGGGCCTGGGCGCTGTCCCTCAGCTCTTCAGCTCAAGGCTAGCACTCTACCAAAAAAAGCCATTTCTGGCTTTTTTTCTTTTTTGCTTATGTGGTGCTGAGGAATCGAATCCAGGGCCTCAGGCATGCAAGGCAAGTGCTTACCACTGAGCCACCTTCCCAGCCCTGCAGCATTATTTACCATAACTGAGATACTGAATCAACCCAGGTGCCCCAGTAGATCAAGAAAATGTGATATATATATATATATATATATATATATATATATATATACACACACACACACACACACACACACATACACACACATGGAATTCTATGCCTCCATCAGAAAGAATGACACTGCCCCATTTTTTAGGAAGTGGAAAGACTTGGAAAAAAATCATATTAAGTGAAATAAACCAGGTCCAAAGGAACGTAGGTCCCATGGTTTCCTTACTAGGGATAGTTACTTGCAATAATTAGTATATGTCTAGGATAAGCAGAAAAGGTCAAAAGCTTTGTACATATGACCATATAAGATGATGTTAAGTGAAATGAACCCCAAGATAGGAACACAAGAGGTTTTTATCTTTCTTGCTGTTGTTTTTAATGTGCTGTGTGATTGTTTTGTTAGTTTTGTATGTTCTTCCCCCATGGTATAATCCCTGTTTTCACTGTGTTTGATTCCGGTGTCCTGCATCTTGTATATACCTTTCTATAATTTGGGAAGTGGAAGGGTAATAACAAAATGCTTAAATAAGGATACAGGTTGACCCATTGTAACAATGAGAAGTACAAGACACTATGTTGAAAATGCATTTTACAACTTTGGAGGAGGTAGGAGTTGGGGAGTTGGGGAGGGAAGGGATGGTAGGGGAAAAACAAAGGAGGAGGTAACAATGCTTGATAGGAAATGGACTCATTACTTGCTCATGTAACTGTAACCCCTCTGTACAATATGTTTACAATAAAATATATATTAATATATAAAAAAATCAAGTGGCACAAAAGTCTCTGAAAAGAACTTATAAATGTGCCTAGTGAGTATGCTGAGAGCTCATTTGGAAAGACAGCATTTCGTTTTTTTAAATTTTTATTGTTAAGATTCTGTTTGGAGGCGTTACACTTACATGAGTAAGGCAATGAGTACATTTTTGTCGATCATTGTTACCCCTTCCCTTCCTTTTTGTTGTCCCACTATTCCTTCCCTTCACCACCTCTCCCCCCTTGCGGCCCGAAGTTGTAAAGTTCATTTGCAATATACTGTCCCGTAGGTATTCTTGTTGCAATGGGTCTAAACCATGAGCAGACACACTGATAATGACAAGCAATGATACTCCCCAGAGAAGTCATCAACAGCCCTCAGCTTTTTGCTTGTTCTGGGCGTACACATTCACACTCTTCTCTCAAATAGAACTTGGAAAATAGTCTAGAAACTAAGCTCCTGCCATATTTGTTACTAGCTAGCCAGGAAAAATTATAATGTCTCAGAGATCTATTATTTTTTCCTGACTGCATGGTATTACTTTAAATTACAAAGCAATTTGATGGTGACAAAAACTATTTGATCATAGCCCTTGGGTATCTGCTCCCTCTTGAAGCCATCACATTCCCTGACTAACGTCCTGGGTAGTTGAGAACCTACAACTTATTTCTGTTATTTCAGGCCCAACAGGTTTAGTGTCCTTAGCATGTAGCTTTGTCTAATAAAATTTCACGGAACTTTCTCCATCTTAAAGCTATTGATTGGGGCTAGATTCCTAATACTTGTTAAGCTAAAAACTAAAAGGTCAAGGTAGTATTGCGAGAGTTACTGGTTTTCTTTAGATTATAAGCCAAATTTTTTTTCAGTGATCAAAGGAGTTCCTCAAAAAATACTGCATGCTATATTGTTCACTAGAAAGTTGCACCACACATTGCAATGCCTAAAAGAGAAAAAAAATTGGAAAGCTCCTAATAATTTTCAGTTAGGGAACAGTTAAATGCATTCAGGAACAGTAATCAGCTGTTAAAAAGGTGAACTAGATTTCTACATACTATTATGAACACATCTCCTAGACATATGAAATAAAAATCACGTCAAAATTTCTGAACATGACTAATATCCTATTAAAATCCCCAAATCCTCTGTGTGTATATATGTTTTATATAATTAAATATATAAAAATTCTAGAAGGATGTATGCTAAATTATTAAGAATGATAGACTCAGGGGAAAGGAATGGGAGAATGAGAGAGACTTGTACCTTTTTTAATAGATTTGGATATCATTTGAATTATTTCATAGTCTTTTTTATTACCCTTATAATAAGAAAATCAAGTGCTATATTAAAATAGGCATAAAATGCAGCAATAAATACATCTGTTTAGCCTTAATGGAGCACATTTCAAACTCATGGGATGGATGAATTCCTGGTTTTGTGGAGCACTCAAAAAAAAACTTATACTGCAAGTTTTGAAGTAACTGTACTTAAGACTCTCCCTGCCCCCCATTAATAAATGGGTTTTGACCTTCTATGGTCATCTGTAAGTGAATGAAAGAGGTAAAAGAGAGAATCTGGCAAAATTTGCCAGGGACATTGGTTGCCAGAGCCATTGTAGATATTCAAAATGACAATGTTGTTGAAAGCCAGGCACAGTGTGGGCACATAGGTAGTGTTAACATATATTATTATTGTTATTACTTCTACTTCTTCTGTTATCCTAGCTACTTAAGAGTCTGATAGCTGAAGATTTTGGTATGAAGCCAGCTGGAATAAAGTCTATAAGATTCTTATCTTCAATTAACCAGCAAAAAGCCAGAAGTGGAGTTAGAAGCTCAAGTGGTCAGGTGTTGGCCTAATGCAAAAAAGCCAATCAAGAGTGTTGAGACCCTGAGTTCAAGCCTCAATACTGGTGAATGGTAATAGCCTAAGGAGACCAGTAAGTAATCCATGCTGTCATTTCAATAATGACAACTCAAAGCAGGCATGCCATATGATATTAGGAAAGTTCATCATAGACCTGATTATACTTTCTGGCACAAATATCCTTATTTAGCCCAGACAGAGGATAGGCTGTCACAGGGGGAACAGCATGTGCCATCTGCACTCTCCTTGGCCCCAGGGACCACACATCTGGAGACAGTGTCCTGGTGCCCAAGCTTTTTTAATGGTTCATCTCACGAAGTGGAAACATAATAATGCTTTGGCCTGGGAAGGTATCCTTTGTGCCAAAAGTTCAAAGCTCTTCTGAGAGTATCACATTCATCTCTGGGATCCTCTGGGGTTGTGGGTGTGTACACAGTGCTGTTGCTCTTCCATCAGGCAAAGGAGAACATACCATCTAGAGAAATTAAATACTTTGTCTTTAGGTCAACATCGTATCAGTGCTGAGCTAGGACCTGAAACCCAGAAGGTGATTCCCCAGGTTCTGTGTTCCTATCACTGGGAAAATCCCAGATTTGCTAAGACGTGACCTCTTGGGATCACCTCCCACTTCCCATCCCTCCTTAGACCAGATATCCACAGGGCTCACCTGTCACCAAACTGAACCTCCTCTCCATTCCTGGCCCAGGTGATGGTCGGCCTCGGGTTTCCAATGGCCTCACAGTGCAGCAGCACACTCAGTGTACCGCTGGCCAGAGCCACAGTCTGCCCCAGGTGAGTGACCACCTCCGAGGCAGAGAGCTGTTGGGCAGCTGAGATCTTTCGCAAGATGGTGGGCTTTCGGTGTGGCCTACGAGAGCCGGCCCCAGCCTCGCCAGAGGAGGTCCTCAGGGAGCTGGTGAAGCCAGACACATGCTTATGAGGGGGGATGGCCACAGGAGGAAACCTCTGCTCCGAGGGCTTGAGCTGCGTGTCCTGGTGCTCGAGGTGGCTGCGGAAGATCTCCTGGGCCAGCTGGGCCACCAGATGTTTGCTGTAGACGTCTCGGAGCTCCTCGGGCTGCTGGGACAGGTTCCTGAGGATGTCATCCAGGCGCTTCTGCTCGGTCACCATGGTGAAGGGGAGATGCAGGAGGACCTGCTCCGTGCTGGGATCTTCCTCGGAGGACGCGTTCCTTTCCATGGAGTCCTGCGCCTCCCAGGAGGCCAAGAGCTCTCCCGGCCAGCCTCCCTGTTCCAGCAGCCGGGAGACCAGGTCATCGTAGCGGCTCCCGGGGTCGGCAGTGAGACCCCGCTTCTCAGCCTTGCTGCCGTTGGAGAAGATGCCGTTTTGGTGTTTGTGGGTGTGCAAGGCCTCTTTGGGGTTGGACTTTCTTACCAGGAAAGCTTCCTCTTCGCTTGGCAGGCCCAGGGGCCGGGCCACCAGCTTGCGGTTGCCTCCGATGAGTTTAATCACGAACTGCTCCCGGGCAGGCCCCGCAGAGCAGGTGTAGATGCCCGCGTCCGAGGGTTTCAGCCGATGGATCTTCAGGTAGCCGAAAGGGGCCACGGTGACGTGCGCGGAGCTGATGAGGTGCTGGCCATCTTTCTCCCAGGTGATGAGGGGTTTGCGGAACCTGCGCGTCGGGCAGCGCAGCACCACGGCCGTCTTGGGGAGCAGGTAGGCGAATCCTCCCACCACGAAGTGCAGCTTCCTCTGCTTGCGGGTCTGGATGTAGACGTTCCTGGCGGCCGCGATGTGAGGGCTGTGCTTTGTGGATGGCCGCCCAGGCCCTGGGTGGAGAGGATGCCAGACCACAGGAGACAGAGAAGGGGAGAGTGGGGGAAAACGCCAGTGAGATGCGGTGAGCACAGAGCACCAGGGGACAAAAGGGACCAGAGGGAAAGAACTCTGCAGGGTCGGTTTGGCCAGGGTTCTCTTTTCTTTACCCAGCCCCGTGTTTAACAAGGAGGAGCTGTCCACCAGCTGTGGATCATCCAGCTGCCATCAAAAACGGGAGCATTAATGAGGTGCAGTGGGCAATCCACACATGTACCCTGCTGGGTCTTTCTGTCCCTTAGGAGCTGAGGTCTAGATGTCAGGAGGTCAGGTGAAAGGCAGGTCCACTCATTAAAAGTGGTGTGTGTGTGTGTGTGTGTGTGTGGTGTGTGTGTGTGTGATGTTGGTACTGGGCTTGAGCTCCAGGTCTAGGTACTATCTCTTAGTTTCTCTGCTCAACGTTGGTGTTCTACCACTGGAGCCACAGCTTCGCTTCATGTTTTGGGGTGGTTGGGAGATATGAATCTCACAGTTTTGTCTGACTTGGCTGGCTTTGCGCCTTGATCCTCAGATCTCAGCCTCCTGCATAGCTCAGCTTACAGGTATGAGCCACTGGTGTCAAGCAAAAAAAAGAGTAAGTGTATTATGTATTATTGAAAAAAAATTAAACACATGGTTGTATAAGGGAGTTACAATTAAACATGTCTATGTGTTCCATGCAGGATCACCCTTCCAGCATTCTCTCCATCTTCCCTGCTCCTTCCTCTAGACTCATTTCACATTTTCCACCTTCATTCAAAGTATTCCAAAGGAGAAGTTTACATCATCAAAAGAGTCAGAGGACAAAGAGGAGGTGATTATCTTCCCCTGAAACTCAACCTTAGGGTCTTGCAAAGTACCTGGTCCTAATGTTCATAAGGAGGGGGTCCCAAGAAGTGTGACTGCTCTAGGGACTAATATTCAATAGAACAAATCTGTTTAGAGTAGTTAAAATCCCCAGAGTGGATGACATTTGACTTCATTAGTAATACACTGCCTCCAGTTTCCAGGTCTGGCATGGCAGCCAGTGAACTTTGCTCTACCCCTGCAAACTGTTTTTTTTTTTTTTTTTTTTTCTGAGAGGGATGGGAATTCCGCCTGGCTGCTTGTGATTAAGATTCCTTCTCTGTCTCCAGCTGGCCTCTCCAGCCTGCAGCCCCCCTACAGGGCTCTGCTGCCCCACAGACTCCTACTGGTCTTGGGTTCAGGGAGTCTTTGCCTTGTAGCTATGCCCGCTGTTCTGTTGGGTTCCATCTGCACATCCCCAGAGCTCTGGCATACTCACTGGCACAGGCTGCCAGCATGCAGGGCCTGATGGAGGAAGAGAAAGGCAAGGGTGGGCACAGGGTGGAGTTGACCACAGTGTAGATCCCGGTTTTCAGCAACTTCCGGCAAATGGCACTTCGGGTCTGGGTGCCCTCCCCACAGCTGGTGGAACACTGGTGGGGAAAGAAAGGCCAAAAGCATCAGTATCTTGGAACTGAGGCTAATGGTTATTTTATATAGACTATCACCCACCTCTCCTCCCAGCCCCAAAATGCTTGAAAAAGCAACAGCCTCTGGAAAAGAAATAGTAATTATAACACAGCAAAGTAGAATACATGTCTGTCTTGAGGATACATTTCACTCTATGGTTTTTTTTTTAATTCTAAGGTTTCCTATAGTCATTTTGTTCCATGTCTTAGACTTGAGAAGTAGAGTCCTGTCCAATATAAGTTCATCTCAATAATGGGCAAGTTATTTAAACTGAGTCTCTTTCTCCTTCTTATCCTTATTTTACAAGCCCAATGAGACAGTGTATTTCAAATGCCATGCATATAAATCATAATTAATGCTAATTCCCTTCTCTTCCCTTCACAAATAATAAGGAGTGAAGATCCAAATGCATTGTTGAAAGGACATAGTGTGTTAGGGAACTGTAAGTCCAAATGACAAGGAGGTATCATTTTATATTCACTAGGATAGACATTTTAAAGAATTTATTGTATATACCACAGAATCGATAAAAATAGGGAAGGGGTGGATTAAAGTGGGGAGAAGAGGTTAAAGGGATGACACAGATCAAGATGTATTGTATACATAAACTGCTTTGGTAAATGGCGAATTTTTCAACATAAGAAAACCAAGGGAAGGGGGAGGGAGGGAGGTAATGGGTGAGAATGTTAAAAGGTATGACATTGATCAAGATGCACAATAAAATGCTTTGTGGAATGGCAGCACCTTTGTACAACCACTTAAAGGTGATAAAAATATTCAAAGACAAAAAAAGAAAACAGAAAGTATTGTGAAGGTGTGGAAAAATCAGAACAATGATACACTGCTGGCGGGAATGTAAAATGACATAGCTCCTTTAGAAACCAGGTTAGCAGTGTACTAAAAAGCTAATTTACTATAGGGCTCAGCCATTTTACCACTAGGTGTCTATCCAAGAGGAAAGAAAATGCACATCTACACCAAGACTTGTATGTGAAAGTTCATGGCAGCATCATTTATAATTGCCCTAATGTCCATCAACTGGTGAGTGGATGAGCAAAGTATGGTACCACCATATAGTGGAATAAAAGAAACATGGTTCTTTTATGTGCCATTAAAAACATTAAGCTACATTGAAACGTTACAAATTATACCCACAATAAAGCTGTTGACAGAACTGAATTGTCATTAAGGAATTTAGTAGGAATATAAGACCAGAAACAAGTAACATTATAAAATTAATGCTAATAGTTATTAACTGCTTCATATATGCTAGGGATGGAGGTCTTAGATGGAGGGAGTTTAGGTGGTTATATCACAACTGGGATCAGCGTGGGAGGTAGGGAAATTTCCAGACCACAGGCAGAAGAATTCAATATAGAACTAAACTGGTTTGAACAGCGAGGCAGAGTTGACAGTGTTCAGGAGCATGGGCCAGACTTTGGCTAATTTTCTGGCAGGTCCACAGAGCAAAGAAGCCACTAAGGAGGGAGCAGCATGATGGCAGGTGGGTGAGATGGTGAATCTGGCAGCAATGTGTGGAAGGGTGGGAGACAGGCTGTTAGTGCAGGGACTGCTAACCAAGCTAGAAGTGATGAAGGCCTGAACTGAGGTCCTGCCCGCATGCCAATGTGATGAAAAATGTCAATGAACACACAAAAATGCAACTATAATGTTGTGTTCTATGTTATGAACTGACACTAATCTGTGCCACAAGCCACCTGAAAGAAAATGAAGAGGCAAAAGGTGATGATGAGGCTGGTGGTTCATGCCTAGAATCCTAACTCCTGGGGAGGCTAAAATTGGGAGGATTACAACTTGAGGCTAAGCTAGATCACAACCATTATCAGGGCATAGTATTGCATATCCCTTATCCCAGCTACAACTGGAAGCATAAAATAGGCAAGCATACACCAGGGGAAAAAAAAGAAAGACCTTATCTTAAAGTATCCTGTACAAAAAAGGGACCGGTTTGAGTTCAAATCCCATTACTGTCAAAGGAGAAAAAGACATAAGCTCTTGTTGCATGGCGATTGTGGATCTCAGATTCGACTTGTCACTTATTTGATTGTAAAGAACAACACTGAATCCAAGGATCAGGTGAAATGAGGGGCCTGATGATTTTTAGTGTTGCCAAGTAGAAAAGCAGAAACATAGTCAAAGTTGTGACTTTGGTAACAACAACCACAGCAACAAAATCAACAACCACCTTTTTTTTAGATTTGATATCCACACCTTGGAAATAGGAAAAGTAAGCCACATCTGTAGATTTTCTAGACTGTGTTTCCTGACCACTGAGATTATGATCTGGAGCTGCTTCTCAGGTGATGGGAAGACCACACACAAAGATCTGATCTCCCAGCCACACTTCAAACCAAGCACCTCTTATTTGATCTAGTTCAGATTTTTTACTGTATAGTGACATTTTATTTGATAAAAGTCTTCAAGGTTTTTAATTTGAAAAGAAAATGGATGATAGGCTATCTTGAGTTTCCAGTTCTAAAATGGACTACCTTGACTTTCACATCTTTTATAATTTCTGAGGTGAGACAAGGTTTATAAAGATTTGACTTAAAAGTATTTAGTAGGAAACCTGGTCAGGAGATTGAAGGGTTTCCTTGAAAGAAAGGAAGGCTGGCCCTTTGAGAAGTCTTGTTTTCAGAATAGAATCTGCAAGTAATTTTATTTGAAATGACTAAAACTTTGGCTTAATTCTATCTCTTAGGGATTTTGTGCAGTAACTATGAGATGGAATCTAGATGGCTAAGAATGAAACATCATAGATCACCCAGATTCTTATTCCCCCCAGAAGAGTCTTATGGGCTGTGTGGAATGCATGTCTTATCTCAGCCAATAGACCACAGAAAAGCTTTTAGAATGACAAGACTAATGTGTGGCCTTGGCTAGTACCTCTGGGGTACTTTGCCATGGTGCCAGCTTGAGTTTAATCCAAAGTGAATCAATGATTACTTCCTGCCATTCTCCAAAGTTTGGAATTTCCATTCATCAGTCAAGATAGTGCAGAACTTAATTAGGGCTAACACCTCTACTTCCCCAAACTGGACTTTCTTATCATGGGAAGACCAGCAAATCCTTTCTAAGACCTAGGTTCTGGCTGAGTTTAGTGGTTCAAGAGCTAGTGGTGTATTTCCTGTCAATGAGATCAAGTGGAAGAGAATCATCATCATAATAAAAATGAACTGTTACCTGGCACAAAGTATTTGAGATGCATAACTTAATGGAAACCCACTGGTGGACAATATTATATTTCTACTTTTCAGATATACAAGATATAGAAAGGTTAAGTAATTAGCCCCAGTTATAGACCAGTAAGTGTCACACTTAGGATATGATATGAGGTGGGATTGCTTTTCCTTGAGTCTGAACTCTCAAGTGCATAAGATACATTTCTAAAGGCCCACTTTAATGAGACCCATTTCACTAGTCTTGTCATCTAAAAGGGTCTTTCATTCAAATACGCAGTCATAAAAGAACCCTTCCTTCCCTTCTTTTCCCTTCCCTCCCTTCCCCCTCCTTCCCTCCTTCTCTCCCTCTCTTCCTTCCTCCTCCCTCCCATCCCTCCCTTCCTTCCTTCCTCCCTCCCTCCCTCCCTCCCTCCCTTCCTTCCTTCCTTCCTTCCTTCCTTCCTCTCTTTCTTTCTTTTGTTCTTTCTTCCTTTTTTGTATTTTTTATTGTGAAATACTATACAGAGGGATTACAATTACATGAGCAAGGTAATGAGTACATTTCTTATCAAGCATTGTTGCCTCCTCCTTTGTTTCCCCTTCCCATCCCTTCCTACCCCCCACCCCATGCCAAAGTTGTAAAGTTCGTTTAAACTTTCTTTCTTTCTTTCTGTTCAGGTATTTGCACTCAGGGACTTACACTTTCACTTGGCTTTTTGCTCAAGGTTGGCTCTCTACTACTTGAACTACATCTCTACTTTTGGCTTTTTGCTAGTTAATTAGAGATAGGAGTCTCTTGGATTTGTTTGCCCAGCCTGGCTTTGAATCATGTTCCTGAGATCTTAGCTTCCTGAGTAGCTAGGATTATAGATGTGAGTCACCAGAGCTTGGTTACAAATATTTTTTTCCTGAATTTTCTGTGTTCCATATCCTCCAAAGTTCCCGAACTCCAAGAAGACGGGGAACAGTTATAATACATACATGCCATGCTTCTGGCATCCCACTCACGACAGTCCGATAGAGGAGAGCAATGCCTTTCACCAATCTCCAGCAGGAGCATGTATTTACTTTGAGCCACCTGGCAAAGGCCTGCTCTTTTTCATTATGATTTTTTCATGTATAATATCCTATCCCAAATGAACATTATCATGAAAAAATTGTCACTAACACATATATATACACATATACATACATGTAAATATACAAATTAATTCTCTACCCTTTTACTTCTTTATTCTGCCAAGATCCAATTGTTTTAAAATATAAAAAAATGAATCATTCTTCTTTCTGTTTTGAAACATCTGGGGTAAAACACTGCCAGAGGTCATTTTACTGCCAAATTATACAACGGCTGTTAATATAGTTTCTTTCTCAATTGCAAATGCCCTTAGCAAGCACCATCAGATGAATCTAAACTGGCAGATACATACATACACAGCAAGAGTTCTAGTAACCCATGTTGAGAGCCTGGCATCTTAATTGTCACAGGCAGCTTACCTGCTCAAAATAAGGGTTTCAGAGGTGTGTTACAGTTAGCAATAGCTCCATACTGAATAAGAAAGACTATGGAGGGGTGGTCAGGAAGGTTAATTTATAAGGGAAAGTCTTGAACCTTTCTTTTAACCCAGGGTCTTGCTATGGCTGCAAGCCACCTGAGTGCAGGAATTTTATATGTAGTTTTGAAAAACACACAGATTTTTTTTTTCACTTCACACCTGTTTCTATCGCAGTTCTTGCTGAGAGGCAATACTTTTGAGACTTCTCTGTGTGAGACCTGTAGGCCTACAGAACTGGGGAAGCTAAGGCAACTCAAAGAGGCTAAGGACAATTCAAAAAGTGAAATTAAGTCATGCATGTTAAAACAGAAATTATTTTATTTTAAAAGACGTTAGTTGGAGGGGCTGGGAAGGTGGCTCAGTGATAGCGCACTTGCCTTGCATGCATGAGGCCCTTGGTTTGATTCCTCAGCACCACATAAGCAAAAAGAAAAAAGCTGAAAGTGGTGCTGTGGCTCAAGTGGTAGAGTGCTAGCCTTGAGCTGAAGAGCTGAGGGACAGCGCCCAGGCCCAGAGTTCAGGCCCACGACCGGACACCCCCCCCAAAAAAAAAAGAACAAACAACACATACAAAGAACAACAACAAACAACTACAAGGAAGAGGTTAGCTGGAGGTCTAGGTTAGGGAACCCTCACTTAGGAAGGAGAGTCAGGAATGGTGAATGCTGAGTCATCACTTCCCCAAGTGCAAAGCACCAGGGGAAATCAAGTTTTCTTTCTGGGAAGTTGTTGAAGTTTTAGAGCCAGGAAACTAACAGTAAAGAGGCAGGATTTCCTTGGCCTTCTATTCCTAATAAATCACATCCTTTATTGTCCAGTAACTTGGAAGAGGAGAATAGAGAGGCTTTGCCCTTCCTGAACAGAGACTAGAAACATCTGGGAGCAGGAGATGCCGGGAGGTCAGGAGGAGGGGGAGGAGTAGAGACAGAAAGAGAACTCAGGAGGAGTCCATTTATAGTCTCAAGCTTCCGATGGGTGAGGGCTGGTTACATAGCCCATTCCCTGCAGCCTAGTTACACATTATGATAGATATGGATACTAAAAGATCGCCCCAAAATATGAGAACTATTTTATTCTCTTCTTGTTCTTTCTTTGTGTGTTGGAAGTGAACTTCTCCCTCATGCCTCTTGTTCTTTCTTTCTGGGGGACATACATACCTCGGTCCACTCTGAGAGAAGCCATTCACTGGGGCAGTCATCTTTCTTGCAGGCTTGCTGAGATGTTGGTTTGGAAGCAGAACAGAAGGTCTCAGGAAGTTCCAGGAAACTGCCATCAGCCATGCGTTGCTTGCAAAGAACCTCACGTTTCTGAACGCCTCCTCCACAGCTCCTGGAACACTGGGGAGGAAGAGAAAGTCCATTCAACATAGGAAAGGAGGCAGGCAAGGATTCTCACCTTAGCCTTGGCGCAGGAAAAAGTAGAAATGTTGTAAAAAAAAAAAAAGAAGAAAGAAAAAAGAAAACAGAAGACAAACTCGGAGTCAGGCCAGAGGATCATGTTTCCTCTCTTTGCAATAAATTTTGTAGCAAAATCTACATACTCTTCTCTCTTAATCCCAGGTATTTAACTTGAGCATCTAGGAATTTTAGGAACCTTGGAATCTTAGAAATTTGTTTGTGAAATGTGATTTGTAGCTGCTTATGACAAGTGGTTTAAAAGGTTAGTATAATAAAGTGTTCAACATATTTATGACCCAGTGAAAATAATCCATGCTGCTTTCAGAAGGAGCAAGAGCAAGCAAGTGTCTGGCATGAGAACCAACTGGGGAGATGAAGTTGCAGAGAGGAGTCGAGTCCTTTTCATCCAAGTGAGAGCACTTCTGCATTACCCTGGGTAGCATGAGATTTAGGGCCTCGTTGTCTGCAGAACTCCCTTAGAATACTTTTCTTGTTGGATTGGTATTTTTAAATTTTTTAGGGCAGTGGGAACCAGAGACACTGAAATTTTGGATGCAAGAAAAATAGCCTCTTGTCAGTGTTTTTCTTTTTTTAAGGGGCCTCAATAAAACACAGTGTTTACATGTAACTTAATCGTTACAACTCAGTTGTAAGAGTAGGGGGAATGAGGCCTCTGGAGGCACAGGCTGGTTGTTTTCTGAGTATTTGCTTTTTCCCCGTTCAAGAGTTTTTCCCCGCTCAAGAGTTCCAGTTTTTATCATGGTCATGAGTTTTCAAGATAGACTATATTTGGTCAACTCCCTTGTAGATAGACACAGCCATTTGACTAAATGCTTGCCACATGGATATAAATAAATGGGTGATGGGTAATGTTAGGGAAGCTCCTGCAAAGAGATACTGGTATCTTTTCTCTTCCCTCTCTCCTCCTTGCTGTCTGGGATGTTCAAAGGATATCTGTCCATCTTGGGCTATTAGAGATGAAAAGATAGAAGCCTAGCTGGGCACTGGTGGCTCATGCCTATAATCTTAGCTACTCAGGAGGCTAAGATCTGAGGATTGCAGTTTGAAGCCAGCCTGGGCAGAAGAGTCCCTGTGAGACGCTTATCTCCAATAAACCACTCAAAAATCAGAAGTGGAATTGTGGCTCAAGTGGTAAAGCAGTAGCCTTGAGCACAAAGAGGCTCTGGGACAGCAACCAGGCCCTGAGTTCAAGCCCTACAATTGACAAAAAAAAGATAGAAGCCTGGCAATGATTGTGAAACTTATTGGTTTGTGTTTATGTGAGAGAAATACCTTTCTATCCCTTGAAGGCAATGCTACTTTGGATTTTCTCACACTTGTAATTAGATATAACCCTAGCTAACATGTAAACTCTGGTACCCATGACAACTGTTTTCACTACTGAGCTAGTTTGTCATGAGAGTTTTAGGAGCTCTGTTTTCTTGAGGACTAGTCTCCAGTCTTCCATTTACTATTCTTGGGCTTGTTGAGGAATGAAGCCTGGGTTTGAAAGTCTAGAGTTTGTCCTGAACGTGTGGTTCCTACAGCCCAGATGTTATCTCCTGCTCCGTGGTCTCAACCATGCTACTGTCACTTAAAAATTGTGGGTGCCCAGTCTTGATGTCAATCAAATCAGAAATTCTGAAAGGCAGTAACAAATTAAAAACTAAAAAGAGATGTTCTAGGACATTCTTTCCAAATTCTATTGTGTACCCAGAGCCAAATTAATGCCATACTACCAGTCCTAGTGGGAATAAAATGGATATGGAAAGGAAATCTGGGCTCCGGAGAGGCCTTTGTTAGAACCTGTGGTTGGAGTGTATCCAAATAAATGCTATTTGTTTGCAAATGCCTTGAAGTCATGGGTATTGGCGAATAATATTAGCAAAGCTATCAAATTAAAGCAATTAAGCTTTGATTCTAGAGGCTCTCATGATTTAGATCAAGGATGAACAACTTACTTTACATGTAAAATGAAATGTACTCAGTAGAGAACCATGAGGGAAAAATATCCATTTTCTTATGCAATCAACCCCTTACCATTGAAAGCTCACAAAAAAAGGCAAGGACACTCTCTGAATAGCTCTTACTCTCAGAGTATAGAGAAAGAAGCTAAGGTGCAGAAAGATGAAGTTACCCAAGTAAGGCCACTTGGAAGCCAGAAATGGTTTGTTTCCATTCAGTGCAACATTCACCAAACTCCTACTGAAGAGTAAGTCCTGGACAGAGCTAGTGAACCAGCCCCAACTCAACTCAGCTCCCTTCCAGTGTTCCATTCAAGGTACCCTATCTACCAGTACAACTATGTTTGTTGCAGCATTATTTACCATTGCTAAGATATGGAACCAACTCAGATACCCCTCAGTAGATGAATGGTATATATACACAATGGAATTCTATGCTTCCATCAGAAAGACATTGACCCATTTGTAAGGAAATGGAAAGACCTGGAAAAAATTATATTAAGCAAAGCAAGCCAGGCCCAAAGAAAAGTAGGTTGTATGGTTTCCCTCATTTGTAAATAACTAGAATATGTCTGTGATATTCTTAACAAGGGATCTCAATAGCCCAATTGCTAAGTGCATAGGGCCATATATGATGAAATGTATCAAAATGAACTCCAAGAATTGGTTCTTATTATGTCCTGTATGCAGTTAATTGTTTTTTTTTCAGTTTTAGTTTTGTGTACTCTTTGTCTTGTATATAAGCTTATCTGATCCATGGAAGGGAAAAAGAATCACAGAAATAGAAGGGTAAAGGATGAACTAATACAACAATGATACTCACTAGACATTATGTTAGAACTGAAATATACAATGGGGGTGGAGGGAAATAGAGGTAAGCAGAAGAAAATGAGGGAGGGGGTAACAGTGTTTAAAATGAAACATACTCATTATCTTACTTATGTTCATCACCTTTACACTAAAGATACATACATACATACAAATATATATATATACACACAAATATATATGCACACACATACATACAAATATATACACACATACATACATACATACAAATATACATACATACATACATACATATATACCCTAACAGTTACTCCCAGTGGTTCAGCAGAACCACTGGAAGGTACTTTGACGGCTGCTTCATACCAAGTCATTTTGACAGCCTGGTCTCACACTTTCACCCCACTGGATGGTGTTTTTTTCTTTTTCAATGCCTCTACCCCCTGACTATTCTTGACTGACAGGAGTTGGCCCATGATCCAGATTGGGGACTGACATTCTAAAATAGTTATCTGCCATTAAGAAAACTTTAAAAACTTGAATCATAAATATAAAGAATATCTAAATAAATACAAATGTTTACTCTTAAGTGAAACAACTCGATTGAATTTATATATATATATACATATATATATATATATTTAAGGAAAAAACTCTAACAATATTTTGAAGGAGAAAGAATCATATCCTGGTGACTCTGAAAACTTGTTTGTGTAAGCGCTTCGATTTCTGATTTGAAAGCCTATATTTGTACATTACTCCTGGGTAATGCACTAGACCACATGTGGTGGTTTGCAGAGCACTTGATCATTGATCCAAAAGTTCCTTTTAAGGGTTCTTCTGGTGACTTTTGGCCTTAATTAAGAAATAAAAAAGTTATGAAGTTATGGCTTCAGACTTTTGTCTTATTTGTGGCTCATTTTGGTGACACCCTGAAATTCTCATTTATTAGAGAAGAAATTTTAGGTCTTCATTTTATTTATATTCCATTCAATAAAATATTAAAAGACTTGACTTTAACTTATTTTGTACCCAGTCTACCCAGAACAGTGCCTTCTGTGAATTCAAGTCCTCAACACATACTTGTGGCACTGAATTGAAGTTGGTACTTCAGAGAAATTTAAATTAGTGGCTACAAATTCCATTTACTCAGAATAACCCTCCTTGTTACTATGGATAACTAGGGGTTTAAATTTAGTGTTTTGCATGATTTCTTAGGTTCAACCTTCTCTTATTTCTGTCAAATTCTTCTTTCTAACCAGCCAGTTACACCATAATCAGATTAGTTATAACCTTTTAGTGTTCATACTTTCTTCAGAATTCTTTTATAAGTAGACAACTAACCACGTGGATTACTTACTCTTAAGGCTCTGCCAAACAGAGGGACTGTGTTCTCCACAATACTTTCCATTCTGTGAATTGCTAAATTTTTTCCATGAACTTAATGTAATTTTTAAAAGCCACAATTGAAGGAAACAAGTTTATGGTGACAAATCAAAAATTTTAAACTTTGGCTTTGACTTCTCCCTGATGCCTCTTCAACATGTCCCCTTAAATGCAAGCAGGTATGTTGACTTAAACATGTCCAAAGCCAAGTTCTTGCTGCTCTCCACTGACCTCACCCCAAACTCTTCTCTCTCAGGTTTCTGCAGTCATTGAACAGTAACATATCGAGGATAAAAACTTAGGCAGCACTCTTGAGTTCCTTTTCCTTTACCAACCCTCCCCAAATACTAAATCACATACAAATACTATCACATTAACCTACATAAAATTAGCTGTATCTTCAAAATAAACAATAACTCAAGATAGTACCATCTTTTGCCTAGGCCACTGCCAAGCCTTCTAACCAGTTTCCCAGTGCTGTGGTCTGCATGTTTATCACCTTCTCCCATCATACATTGGAATTCTAACTTTCAAGATGATAGTCTTAAGTATATGTGTCAGGGTTATGAAGGAAGCTCTTAGGAAGTAGTAAGAGTGAACTACTCATGAATGGGACTAGAGTTGTTACTCAAGAGGCTCCTTTTCCTTTTTACCATGTGGGACCCAGCTAGAAGACCATATCCATGAACTAGGGAGAGGGTACTCAACACACATTGAATATGCAACCATATTGACTAAAGATTTCCCAGACTCTGGAGTGAGAAATAAATTCATGCTGCTCATAATCTATCTAGTCTATGGAAA